AGACATTTATTTTCCAATGAATTCTAATGGCACTACATTTTTACTATCCCTCCATTTTATGTTTTATGTCATAGTTTACATCTTTTTATTTTGTGTATCCCCTAACTACTGTAGTTACAGTTTATTTTACTACTTTTGTCTTTTAACCTTGATACTGTCTTTTTATGTGGCTGATCTACTGCTTTTACTATATGTTGCCTTTGCCAGTGAGATTTTTTCCATTTATCTCTTTTCTTATTTTTAGTTATGACTTTTTTCTTTTCCACTTAAAGAAGAGCCTTTAACATTTTTTGTAAGGCCAATTTAATAGTGATGAACTCCTTTAGCTTTTGCTTCCTTTCAAAGTTCCTTATCTCTCAATTCTGAAGGATAAACTTGCCATGTAGAGTATGCTTGGTTGTGTGGTTTTTTTTCTTTCAGCATTTAAAATATATCCTGCCACTCCTTTATGGCCTGCAAAATTTCAGCTGAAAAATCAAGCAGATAACCTTACAGTTTCCTATGTATGTGACTAGTTTTGTTTTTCTTGATGCCTTTATGATTCTCCTTTTTTTAATTAAATTTATTGGGGTGACTTAGGTAAGTAAAATTGTATAGGTTTCAAGTGTACAATTCTGTAATACATCATCTATATATTGCATTGTGTGTTCGCCACCCAAAGTCAATTCTCCTTTCATCACTATATATTTGACCCCGTTTACCCTCTAGTACCACCTCCTCCTCCCTTACCCTTTGAGAACCACTAAACTGTTGTCTGCATCTGAGTTTTTATGTTTGTTTGTCTTGTTCGTTTTTTGCTTTCAGTTTTAATATCCCACATATGAATGAAGTCATATGGTAACCGACTTTTTCTGTCTGACTTATTTCACTTTGCATGATAATTTCAAGATCCACTCTTTATCTTTAACTTTTGCCATTTTAATTATAATATGTCTTGGTGTGGCTCTCTTTGGGTTCATCTTGTTTGGGACTGTGTGTGATTCCTGGACCTGATGTCTGTTTCCTTCCCCAGGTTAGGGAAGTTTTCAGCCATTCTTTCTTCAAATAAGTTTTCTGCTCTTTTATCGCTTCTCCTTCTGGGAGCCCTGTAATGTGAATGTTGGTACACTTGATGTTGTCACAGCAGTTGCTTAAGATATCCTCATTTTTTAAATTGTTTGTTTCTTTTTGCTGTTCTAATTTGGTGATTTCTGCTATTCTGTCTTCTAAATTGTTGGTCCATTTTTCTGTATCATCTAATCTGCTATTGATTCCATCTATTGTATTTTTCATTTCAGTTACGGTATTCTTTTGTTCTCACTGGCTTTTTTCTTCTAGTTTTCATTTGTTGATGTTCTCACTTTGTTCCTCCATTCTTCGCCTATGTTTGGTGAGCATCCTTATGACCATTACTTTGAACTCTTTATCAGAATTATTTATCACCACTTCATTATGGTTTTTTGGGGGAGAAGGGGTTATCTTGTTCTTTTGTTTAGAACATATTCCTTTGTCTCATTTTGTTTGACTTTCTTTGTTTGTTTCTACAAATTAGACAAATAGCTACTTCTGGCCTTGAAGGAGTGGCTTTGTGTAGAAGCAACCCCTGTATAGACTGCATGTCTACATGGCAGGTTGGCTTGGAACTGATGTGGTGCAGACCACTTAGGTCCCCATGTGCATTGCATCCAGATGCCTTGGCAGAACGGCTGGAGTTGGAGCAGGCATGGGTGTATGGGGAGTCCCAGGGTGCTCCATGCCAGAACCACCTTGATGGGATTGCTGGATGTGGAGTGGGCACAGTTTGGAGTTGGGGAGATTCCCTGGGTCACCCTCACAGGACAGCTGGGGCTGGAGTGGGCTTTGGGGATCCCAGGGTGCACCATACCCAAGCTGCCTTTGTGGGACAGCTGCAGCTGGAGCAGGTGCAGGCTGGGGAGAAGAAGTGCCAGGGCATGCCACTTCAGGGTCACCGTGGTGGGACAGCTGGAGTGAGCTCAGACTGGGGGTGTTCCCAGGGCATGTTGCATTAAGACTACCTTAGCAAGATGGCTGGATTGGGTGCAGTCAAAGGGGCCCCAGAGCATGCCACATGGGGGCCATCTTAGCAGGTCACCTGGAGCTGGAGCAGACAACGGTACACTGGGGCAGCTTTGAGAGGCTGGCAAGAGCAACCGGACCATGCTTTTGCCCCTGCTATTAAGGTTGAGGAGGAATGTAAAATGGCCCTCGTCCACACTTCCAATCCCAGAGGGAGTTCCAGCAGTTCCTTCCCTGTTTGGCAGATGTTCTAGGATTAGTAAATGGATTTTCTTTACATATAGTCTAGGTGCCCTTTAAGCCACTGTTTTTTCAATGTGCCCTAAGGTGGGTGAGTCTGCACAAGCACCCCTCAGTGATATCCCTCCCTTCTGCAGGTAACTATATCAAGGGTGGGATTACTGTTTCTATTGTGTCTCCGTCTCTCCTACCCTTTTATATGTGATCCCTCTATTGTGGTGCAAAAGCTGTTCAGTCAGTCCTCATGTCTTTTCCAAGATGAATTACTCTAAGTGTAGATGTATATTCAGTGTACCTGTGGAAGGAGGTGAGTTCAGGGTCTTCTTACACCGGCATCTTGGACCCCATCAGAAGCTGAAACATCTTGTATCTGGAAAGTAGTGAAGTTTTCAAAAAATGATGGGGATATATCAAAAGGATACAGGAACCAACTTGAAGGGATTCCCAGTGGCCAAAGTTGGTTCAATTTAAGCAACATAGTAAATAATGATACTGTTAGATTATAACCCAAAAAATAAAATAAATATCCATGAGTTCATACTGATACCAATAATTGAACTAATAATTGAGATAGAAGGGACAGCTCTTTTTACCTTAGAATACTAATTAATAAATGTTGGAGAATAAGTGAAATAGCAAATCAACATTATGAAGTACCACAGTAGTAACTATTTCATTCAAGAAACATTGATGGATGCTAACATTAGTGGGTAAAGTTTACTGTAAAAAAGGATACTTGCACAATCTCCAAATATCTCCCCACAGATATTTATTATTTACAAATGGCAAAATAACAACTTTTACAGTGGCAAAACCTGGCAGACACCACTTTAGCCATGTAATCAGTTAATATTACCAGTAATAAAACATCAATATCACTTACCCAAATATGATGCACTGAGAAAGGGCATCATTTCTCTGATATTCTTGCCACTAGTGAGAAAACATTAATAAACACAAATTGAGAGATAGTCTGCAAAATAATTGACCTGGACTATTCAAGAGTATCAAGGTCATGAAAGAGAAAGCTAAAGGATCTGTCATAGACTAAAGAAGACTAAGGAGACTTGACAGCTAAATTCAGTGGGAACCCTAGGTTGGATCCCTGACCAGAAAAAAGTCAATGGGGACAATGGCAAACATAAGATCTGTAGATTACTTAATATTATTTTATCAATGTGAATTTTATGATTCCAGTATTTGTACTATGGTTACATAGCTGGGGGATGGTATAGTGGGAACTCTGATAATTGGATATTTCATTGTAGGGTAGTATGAAGATGTGTGTATTTGAGAATAAAGAGTAATGTAATTCTCTTAGTACTCGTTTTCTAGATGATTGTATTGCATTAAGCCTGTACTTTCATAACTCAATTATGACAAATCACTGAGTAATGAACTGGTATGTTTCATTTAGCAGATATTTACTGTTGAGAAAACTTAACTTTCAGGAAATGTAATGCAGTTAAGTCAGGAAGTTATGACTTATGTTCTAAATTCTGTTAATAAAGATGATTTTTGATTTGGGAGTATTTGGTGGCCTATTTCTATTTTATTTTTATTTTCTGTTTCATTTTTATTCTTTAAATAAAGTGTAGCTTTGAATCAAGAAAAATGTGTAAATGAAATGGAAGTCTTAGTGCCACAATGATAAAACTTTTAAGAAATTAATTTTCACCATCATAATTTGTGACAACAGTCTTAACCCCAACACTTTTGTGGGCATGGTGTCTTCTGGGGAAGATTAAAACTTGTGTGTCTTATTTCTGCTGTAGGAACATACAGCATGTATGATGTTTTCAGGTCTCCACAAAATTGAAAAGTCAATTTGGGTACTATACTTTGAAAAGTGTATACTGTCAGCCTAAGGTGTTTTTTAATCTTTCATCTCTTTTAAGGATCAAATATCCTTAGAAAAATAAGCCATGGGCATTACAAACGTGGTCTGGTGAAATTCAATATTTACAATGATAATTCAGAATATGAGCTCCTCGGGAGAAAGTTAACCCGCCACTCTAACTTTGCATCCAAATATCTTAAAGTGTTCCATTGGTTTTATGAAAAGGTTTTGATCTACACTTCTAGTTTAAGTTCAAAAGAAAACCTACATTTTAAAGTGTATTCCTTTTCTGGGTATATTTACTTTGAACTATAGCATATAGTTTTTCTCATAAATCTAACCTGCCACTATCTGTTTTTAAGACTTTGTAAACTTCAAGTGGTTATGATGTGTGAAGTTTGGATTAAACTAAAGTTTTTAGAAAACACATGTTATGTATTTTGATTGTTTTGATTTTAACGTGGGCCGGTCAAAAACTTGAGTGTCTAGCAAAGTAATATACTATACTTTTACTGTAAGAAATCACAGAAAATTGCCCTTTCTCATCATGTTAACAATAGACAAATGAAGCAGCTGTTTTTATTCTTAATGTAGTTGTTTGAAAAACTTGCACAATTTAATGAAAATGTCTCTACTCATAAAACTTAAAATACTCACACATGGAAAAAGTCATAATGTTTTGGCAAAATAGCTTTGTTAGGAATGTGAATAAGGTATACCTGCTTCATAACTAGAATTCTATAGAAATGGCATAAAACTGTGGGGGGAAGCCAACTGAAAAAGAAGACTCTGACAAAGGATGAATTAATGATCTTAGAAAAGATGATTCTTGCACAAACATATTTTTTGACAAGAAAGAATAATAATGTATAATACCCCTCTACATTTCTTTTTTGTTTTTCAGGCATAATTCTTGGGTCATCATTTCTACTCAGCATAAATGATTTTCTCCTTAAAACAAGTCTCAAAGAAAGAAGTCGGATTCTGATAGGACCATGTTGTGCCACTGCCAATCTGGAAGCTAAGTGGTGTAAACACAGTGGCAATCCTGGCCCAGAACAGTCTATACCAAAAATATCCATTGATTTGAGAGGAGGCCTACTACAGGTGTGTGGGGATTAGCCACTTTTCCCCCATAAGTTTTTAACTAGCCTTTGTTCGTTTTTGAACTCTTACTAAGTTTTACTAAGTATTAAATCTTGATGGGGTGAGAAAGGGTATTGTCAGGTTGTTGTCTTATGAAACATTTTTAACAACTTTATTGAGTTATAATTCACATACCATACAATTCACCTTATTAAAATGCACAGTTCACTGATTTTTTACTACATTCACTGAGTTGTGTGATCAGCACTAAAATCCATTTCACTTCACTCTAGAACATTTTCACACACACATCCCCCCCCAACATTCTGTATCCATTAGCATTTGTTCCTGATTATTCTCTGATTCCCTCTTCAGGCCTACACAACCACTAATCTATTTTCTGTCTCTACATATCTGACTCTTCTGGACATTTCATGTAAATATATGATGGTGTTTTGTGAGTGGTTTCATTCACTTAGCACAGTGTTTTCAAGGTTCATCCATGTTTTAGCAGGTGCCAGTACTTCATTCATTTTTATGGCTGAATAATATTCCACCGTATGGATATGCCATATTTTGTTTATCCATTCATCAACTGATGGATATTTGGGTTCTGTCCACTTTTGACATCAATAATGCTGCTATGAACATTTGTTTACAAGTTTTTGCATGGACGTATGTTTTCATTTCTCTTGGATATATGACTAGGAATGGAATTGCTGGGTAAACTTTTTTCTAATGTGTAGACTTCTCTAACTACCATGTAGTAAACCTATCTCAATCTCAGTGTCATCAGCAATATATAAGAACCATTTCCTAATTGCAGATTCCTTAGATTAAATTATGATGTCTGATGCCTAACACTTGACATATAAGTCACATTGCAACCTTTTGTGTATTTGATTTAGAGCCACGTATAGAATGTGTAAGAGTATTCAACATATTTCTTGGTAATTTTCTACTTGGATAGATTTATATGAGTTGATGTCCCCCAAATTTGACACAAGTAGAAAAAGAATGAGAAATTCACAACTACAGACAATGGAAATGACTAATTTGTTAATAATGGAGGTATATTATGTATAAATTTCTTGTTTTCATGTAAAAATTGTGTTGCCTTAACTTATCAGTTTTCTTACACAGAGCTTGGTGTGGGGGGATCCTAATAACTTATTGCTTTGTACTGTTGGAAATTTTCCACATCTATCAGAAATCTTCATATATTTAACAATAAGCATGTAGTTTTGTGTTGTTTTATCAAGAATATTAAGGCAGCAAAGTAACTCCACATTAAAAACAATAAAAGCAAAACCAAAGTATATCATCTCTACATTATAAATTCACTGACTGTCTCTTAACAATTTAGAGGCTAGAGCACAGTGTTCAACTCCCCAGCTTGACTTTTCACCTACCTCTATTTTTCCAGATCCAACAAAAAATAATATCGGTGAAAACAAAATTAGACTTAACATCATATCTCTTACCTTTATTTCTGAGATGCCTTAAATCCAGAGAGCAGGACGTAAGCCTAGGGTTAAAACTTAGCCACAAGGTATAGAGTTATTCTTTTCTACCTCTATGCATTCTTTTTTCTTTTCTGTGTTATATGGTTTTCTTAGAATTAATGGTTATACTATACTGCCTTTATCCAATTATTCAGAGAAATTTGAAATTTTGAGCCCTCTGAAATTATTATTACCCATTGGTCAGACTTCTATTATAGACTAATATTCTTCACATGCAGAAAGGGGGAACTTGATTCTCTCTACTAGAGAAAACACCAAGACCTTTGTTCTGAAACTGTACTGTAGCCCCTGTACAGGGGTGAGGAGTACTGTGTGTTCGCACATTCTCACTCAACACAGAAGTTGGGAGCCTCCTGAATTCAGGTTCATTTAGCATCTTCCCTCTTTTTTTCTCTCTTAAAAGTAAAAGTGCAAAGAAAAGAACCCCATAATCAAGATGTGTTTATTTAATCTCATGACAAAATGTAGGAAACTATTCTACAAGGTTACTATTATTTTGTCCTAGAAGATCTTCATTGCCTTCTCTCAGATTGTATTAGATGTTCTTTTCCCTCTTAGCTAAGTTAATTAATAAATGTTACCTCATATTAACATAATTTCATCATTAAGTCAGCATTTAAAATTGATCATTGTTCACATGGTGTAAATGATTTTCTTGTTTTTATATATTTACTCAAGTAATAGAATTATATCCCATAGGTCAATTATTTCTTAGAAATTATAGTTAAGTTATTATCAGTAATTAAGTTGAACATAATTGCTGTCATGCGTTAATTTCAAATATGATTATACATAATTATCTTCGTGAAATGTTTGTATTGAAAATCCACTAAATTTTTTCATGTAATTTTAAAGGTTTTCTGGGGTCAAGAACATTTGAATTGTTTAGTTCTTCTACATGAATTACTCAGTGGATACCTTAATGAGGAGGGAAATTTTGAAGTGCAAGTTTCTGAAGCAGTGCCACATATGCCATCCCCTGTGGAAAAGAGTCAGATGTTCAAAAGTGAACAAAGTTCAGATGACCTACGTACAGGTCAATTTCAGTATATACGTGATGCTGGTAAGTAGCTATAGCTTCAGTGTGTGTGTGTGTGTGTGTGTGTGTGTGTGTGTGTGTGTGTTAACTGCACATTGACTAAATGATAACACAAAAAGATAACTTGAAAAGTACATTAATACCTTTAGTACAAAAATACTATATTACTATTCCGTCTCTCTTAAGGGAAAATTCTTGATTTGTTCCTATCATTTAAACCACATAAAAATGACCAAGCAGCTTCTTTATATTTTTTGTTTTATCCTCATAATTTTTTCTTGCTGTCATAACCAACATGTTTCCCTTCAAAAGCATACAATTAATAATACTTCCATTTAACAGAACCTTTGAAAACGCCTGGTGTTTATGAAGTCTTGTTTTACAATGAAACGGAAGATAGTCCAGGGATGATGTTATGGCGATATCCAGAACCTCGAGTGCTCACCCTTGTACGGATAACTCCTGTGCCCTTCAACACCACAGAGGATCCAGATATTAGCACTGCAGACCTTGGTGATATGCTACAGGTATGTAATGACTATTCATCTTAAAATAAAAACATGATGGGAAAGTGCTGATGTAGAGCTACTAGGGAAAATGTTTGGAGCATACCCATTTTTTTCCATCAATTGATACTATTGATGAAGAGAAATATACATATATGTATATACACATACTTGTGTATGTACATACACAAGCACACACAATATTTTATAATGCAAGAATAATGTAACTCAGATTCATGGTACACAGCAATTATGAGAGTTCTCAATTCTACTCTTAGTCCTGCTGTAGGGAAGTTATATGGTCACTAACTTAATAAGACAAATAGGTGTCATTCAGTTCACCACACATTTCTTTGCGTACCTGCCATGTGCTCACAGCTCCTCAACATTTCTAGAACTGCTCCATGAAATAAAATATGTCCACATGAAGCCAGAATGGATGACTCAGTTTTCATTTTATTTCCAGAGCTGAAAATGGCCTTGAGGCTTGAGGTAGGCTAATAGGAAAACCATCGAACCAGTGATCATATTCTATATGATTTTGTGAAAGTTTGTTACTTGTCAGTTCCCTGAGTTTAATGTAAATGTCATTGTGGATATCTCTCTATTATCGTTCCACTTATTAATATTCTACAAATCTGAATTTCTCCCAAAATTTGTTTTTCTCTTAGCCTTCCACCTATTACTAGATTACACACCATCCACTCAGAGCCTAGAAGTCATTCCGGATTGCTTTTTCCCTGATTCTCTGCATCTAATTCATCAATAAGTCCTGTCAGTTCTACTTCCAAAATATGTCCCTACTCCATCTATTTCTCTCTGTTTCCACCGGTGTGACTTGAGTCCTGGCTACCATCTTCTGTTCCTTACTATAGTAGCTTCCTAATTGATCTGTAATCCCATTCTTGTCTTCCTGTAATGCATTTTCCAAACAGCTAAAGTGATCTTTTAAAAATGTAGATCAGATTATATCACTCCTCAAACTTAAAACATTGTGGTGCCTTACTCTGACATTTAGAATAAAATTCATATATCTTGCTATGACCTACATGGGCCTATGATCTGTGCCTTTCCTACTCCTCTGACTTCATCTCATGCCAGTCTCCCTATTTCTTACTGTGCTCCAGCTGCACCAGTCTCCTTTTTCTCCTTGAGCATACCACCTAAGAGACATTTCTCTTGTGTGCTTCCCATCTTTGTCAATCAGGTAGACCAGCTCAAATGTCGTCTTCCTGGTTAGCTCACTACTGCTACTTTATTCTGTATTACGTTACCTTGTTTTACTTTCTTCATAGCTCTTATTGCTCTTCAGAATTATCCTATACATTTATTTATTTACTTGCTTATGGTCTTTCTATCTCTACTGTTAGAAAATAACCATATGATTTCACTCATGTGGAATATAAAACCGAAAGCAACAAATGAACACAACAAACAAACAAAAACTCATAGACACAAACAATAATATAGTGGTTACCAGAGGGAAAGGAGGTCAAATATCGGTGACGGAATGAGATTTGACTTTGGGTGGTGAACACACAATATAATATACAGAATTGTACACTTGAAACCTATATAATTTTATTAAAATGTCACCTGAATAAATTTAATTAAAAAAAATAAGCTTCTTGTATGTCTTGATCATTAATTTCCAGCCTCTGGTACATGGAGATATTCACTAATTTTTTTTAATGACTGCTTTATACTTAACAAATCAGAGTAATAATATAAATCAGAGAGGTCTAAGGTGCATACTAGCATAGGTATAATCTTATTGAATTGGTTTTTTAAATTCCTGATTGTAATGTAGTCAGATTTTCACCTTCTGAATTGATAACAACATGTGTCGTCATTTTGTCAAGTGAACCTAGAGTGTGCAGAACTATCCAATTTGCCAAGATGTCGACAGTCTCTTCTTTCTTTTTTTTCTTGTGATGAGAACTTTTAAGATCAGCTTTTTTAGTAATTCTACTTTGACTTTTAAATACTCAGGTTTGTTTTTCATCCTATCAAGGTCATATTCATTATTATCTTCTCTACCAGTATTCTTGGATAATTTCTGCTAAATAAAATAGCAATATCTTTGAATTCATTAGCCTTGCCTAAATGCACAACATCTGTGGTATTTTCAATCAAAAAGAAAATACTCATATATCAAAGTTTCAGCATCATATAAGAGCTTCTTTCTGATTTGGGGGTTCAGATTTATAGATAAATGTTAATATATTAACATAAATCTGATAACTATTAGTGTCGTATTATGTCAGTTGTATTAAATAGGGCATTTAACACTGAGATGTGGGCAGCATTGGAAGATAGGGATGCTGGAGTAAGAGGCAAGTCAAGGTGTCACCTGCTGTAAGCAGAAAAGGAGAGCTTGAGCCCTGTGCTGAAAAGAACAGCTGGAATCAGCAGCAGGGATGGAAGAACAGAGCAGGACTGGCGGCAGGTTGCATTGCTGCCGAGTTCCCCTCCCAGTCCTTTATAGCAGGTCCTCACATAACGTTTCATTTAACATTGATGAGATTCTGTAGGAACATAACTCTTGTTTATATCAATTTGCCTAGGGTAAAAGTGGTTTCATTATATGTCGTTTTGCCACAGTTCCAAGAACCTATGGACAATATTAAATGAGGACTGAACTATTGCCCTGAGGGTTGGAGTGAGCTTCATCTGTGGAAATAACTCACTGGTTTGCAATCTTAGACCCATACAAACTATTGGGTTGTCGGAAAAGTCATGACGTATTTCTTTCTATGTTTTTCATTGCAAAACTCCATCATGACTTTTCTGACAACCCAATATTTCATTTCCTTGGAGCTTCGGCTGAGAACAGAAAGCATGTTGCATGAATCACAGGTTTGATTCAGTGTGATAGTTTTTACTTGCAGTTCCAGACCCTGGGCTTGGTCCTGAGAATTCAGAGACAGTAAGGCAGTGTTGACTCATAAAAAACCCCCAGACTAGCAGGGAACTGTCTATGGTTGTCTGGAGTAGAAGAGTCTCCCTAATTTCATCTTTCACGGAGAACCCCTGTTTTTTCAGAATCATTTTCCTGCTGTATGTAATTATCTCTAGGTCTGTCCCAGAGGCACACCTAAAATACTGAACCACCAATCCTGCATTGCAGAGAGCTTATGAAAAGAAGGTTCTTTATTATAATGCTGTAGTGCTGATAGCGGGGACATTAAAGTGTCAATGGCTGACTCCTGCTCCCCTCTCCTTTTTAGTTCACTAGCTAAGTGACCTTAATGAGCTCTTTGAGCCTTAATTTCCCCAACAGAACTCTGGAGTTAATGTTATTTACCTTTCAGAGTTGTCATGAGAATTAAATGAAATACTATAGTTAAAACAAATACGTGCCTTACACATAGTGAGCTCTTAATAAGTGTTGATTGCCTTCCCTCCACTCCTCCTTTAAAAGCAAATGCCCTGACCACCAAAAGAGCTTCCTAAATGGAATTCCAGCCTTCAGTCTGTCTTCCTTCCAAACTATCCTATTAAGTTCTTAAAGGACAGGTGACTTGTATCACTTCCCTGAGAAAAACCTTCAGTGATTCTATCAGCCTGCTAGACTGACCTTGAGGGCCCCCCATAACCTCCCACCCCCACCCAGCTTTGCCTTTCATTCCCTTATATGTGATCTGTCGAACTGGCCTATTCGGCATTCCCCAAACCAGCTTGTGACATCCCACTTCCATACAACTCTGTCTTCATTTGAATCTCTCCTTTCTCTGAAATCCTATCCACACTTCCAGACAGCTCACATGCCATCTATTTCATGAAACCTTTCCAGGACACCAGCTTCAAACATGATACCACCTTCCTCTAAATTTCTGTAGCACTCATGGCACCACTTGTATGCTATTTCTCACCTTATTTCTCACATTTTAAATATGTCCATATCTTTTTTTTTGTATTTTTTTCAATTAAATTTATTGGGGTGATAATGTTAGTAAAATTACATAGGTTTCAAGTATACAATTCTGTACTACATCATCTATACGAGGTCGGACAATTAAGTTTGCGAACTCATCCTAGAAAAAGTGCTACGTTGCTGAATATCACTTAGGTCACCTTCGAAGTACTCCCCTTGGGAAGCTATGCACTGACGCCAGCGCCTAATCCACCCTTTAAAGCAATTTTGGAACTCTTTTTCTGGAATGGCCATCAGAGCTGTCGTTGTATTACTCTTGATGTTCCAAATGTCATCAAAATGTCTTCCTTTCAATATTTTCTTTATCTTCGAGTAAAGAGAGAAGTCATTGGAGTCCAAATCGGGTGAGTAGGGAGAGTGTTCCAATACAGTTATTTGTTTATTGGTTAAAAACTCCCTCACAAACAGTGGCATGTGAGTTGCTGCATTGTCCTGATGCAAGAGCCATGAATTGTTGGCAAAAAGTTCAGGTTGCTTTTATTTAACTTTTTCACACAGCCTTTTCAGCACTTCCAAATAGTCAGCTTGGTTAACTGTTTGTCCAGTTGGTACAAATTCATAATGAATAATCCCTCTGATATATATTTAAAAAGTTAGCAATATTTTTGCAACAAGTTCTTGAACTTAATTGTCAGACCTATATCACATTGTGTGCTCACCACCCAGACTCAAAGGGGATCAAATATATGGTGATGTCTCCCTCTTAGATTGTAGGTTCCCCAAGGAAATGATCATATCTAATTTTTCATTATGTCCTTTAAAGTATCCACTGCAGTGGATATGCTCAATAAATATATTGACTGGATGAATGAATGTATGAATGTCATGTTCCTATTTTGTATTATTCAAAATTATTACATTGTTTGTCATTATTTTATGGGGCTCTTGAATGACTTGGTTTTACAAACTGAATTATGTCAGGATGCATTGTATTGTGCTTCGGTGGTATTATCTACCATAAACACACAGCCTAATGTTATTACATTACACAGGTTCTTGGTGAGATCATTGAATGCTCCCCCTAAGCCCACTGCCCCCTAGACAGAGGCTTAAATACCAAGATAAGGTAATTTCCTTGGTTGTA